GGCAGAAGAAAAACAGCAGAATTAGCCTTTAAAGAGTCCCCCCACCCTGCAACCTAAATTCTCACCTATTCACGGGCTAACTTCTCTGCCTGCAAGCCTGAACTTTGAAGCATTGTTTTGAAGATTACGTGAGAACACTGTGTGAATACACTCTTCCAGCTCCAGCGTCCTTTTCTAATAAGACTACGCATCTCTCCCTTCCCTCGCCAGCACGGCAGTGTACTTCCCCTAAGTGTCTGTCTTTTTAATCATCTTATTGTTAATCACATAAGGTCATAAATGCATAATCATTTACATTTTGGATCATGAGTTTCACAACTGCTGGATTTACTAGGGCAAGGGGGAAGTGGGTAGCATAGGCAAAAGGAAATTGGAATTTGAATCTTTGATTACAGTGACCCATTTGTGGAGCCCACGATCATTGGGGAAAAGATGTGGCCGTGACAATTCTGCAGTGTGAAATAAATGTAAGACTGGGACTTCTTCAGTCATTTACCAAAGCCTCCCTACTGACCTTCACTGCATACCTGTTGAGCTTGTCCAGTGTATAAGGTGCTGTGTGGGCGTGGAACGGGCCGGGGGCCGCTTCCTGGGGGCTAAAGACCACAGTCACCTTGATTGAGGTTCTCTGAAGAGGGGCTTGCAAGGAAGTGAATTACAGAGCCATGTTCACCAGTTGTAAATAAGGTACTGTTATGAAGGTTATTGAAGTAGATGCTGTCATCATCCTGTTTGTTTGACCTACTGGGAATTAACCCAGTACCTTCACACTGAGCTACATCCCTGTCACAGTCACCTTGATTGAGGTTCTCTGAAGAGGGGCTTGCAAGGAAGTGAATTACAGAGCCATGTTCACCAGTTGTAAATAAGGTACTGTTATGAAGGTTATTGAAGTAGATGCTGTCATCATCCTGTTTGTTTGACCTACTGGGAAATAACCCAGTACCTTCACACTGAGCTACATCCCTGATATTTTTTCCCCTTACCTCTGCCCTCCCTTCACCCCCTCCTCCCCTCCCCATCTACAAACACTTTATTTCCATCTTTTCATTATCTCATACTTTTTTCTTTGCCCTTATTACCCTTCCCCTACCCATCTCACCTTCCCTACAACTTTAGCTCTTTTCTTCCCATTTCTCAATGTCAGTAATCTTATTAGGATCTTATGTATTATTGCAGATTATTCACACCAGGAAAACTATTTGGTATTTACACATGTGTGACTTATTTATTTCACTTAGGAGTATATCTTCAATATGTATCCATTTTTCTATGTATGAATCTATTTTCTCATTCTTTATGGCTGAGTAATATTCCATTTTATAGA